TTACCAGTCTCGTCAGAGAAAAGATATACCACACAGATGATCAGTAAGGAACAAGAAGTCTTTGTAATGCAGAGCAACATATATATAGTCACATGAACAGTTGCATTGACTCACACAATATCATTTAAGAGAGATTCAAATGGTCCTTAGGTGTCCATGGGAAAGATCTTCTTCCAGCAGCTCAGAAGCAAAAAGCTGTCCTGGTAAGCTCCTGCACAGCTAAAGACTAAGTATGTAACTGTTGCCAAAAGTCCCAGGCTCAGCTAGTCTCTCGACATAGCCCAACCAATCAGCTTTGTAACACACTTACCAACTGATTTTTACATGCTCTAACAATTTGCACAAGGCCACCCAGTGGGTTTCATGGCTAAGCGGGGATTTGAACCCTGGCCTCCAGAATCACAGTCAAACACTGACATCACTAGAGCCCCGGGTGGCGAAGTGAGTTAAACCCCTGTGCCGGCAGGACTGAAGACTGACAGGTTGCAGGTTTGAATCTGGGGAGAGGCGGATGAGTTCCCTCTATCAGCTCCAGCTCCTCATGCGGGGACATGAGAGAAGCCTCCCACAAGGATGATAAAACATCAAATCATCTGGGTGTCCCCTGGGTAATGTCCTTGGAGACGTTGCCCAGGGGACAACGTCTGCACACCAGAAGCGACTTGCAGTTTCTCAGGTCGCTCCTGACACAACAAAAAAACAAAAACAAAAACTGACACCACTATATCATGCGGATGCTCCACAGCAAATAGTAATAGACGACACACTGACTCTAACACTGGAAGCATGGCTAAATACTATGGAGTCACAGGCAGGATAGTTTTACAAGATTGTGAAATATTGTTTGCTGCTGCCTCACCAAACTACAGCTCCCTGGAGTCTACAGCACTGAGCCATAGCACTCAAAATGGTATCGAACTGAATTATTTTTTACAATGTAAATGCACCTTTAGATGATCCCGGGCTTCAAATGAAGAGTGAAGAAGTTTCCTTCACATTTCTTCTCCCTCTCTAGAGGACATGGCAATAGATTAGAGGAGGGTCCGTCCAGTTTTACTGGAGCCCCCGGTGGTGCTATGGGTTAAACCCTTGTGCCAGAAGACTGCTGACCAAAAGGTTGGCAGTTTGAATCTGGGGAGCAGGGTGAGCTCCCATCCGTCAGCTCCAGATTCTCATGCAGGGACATGAGAGAAGAAGAAGAAGAACTTTATTTTTCTACCGCGCCTCCATCTCACCATAGGGTCTCGGGGCGGCTTACATGGGGCCCAAGCCCATGGCAGAATACAATTAAAAACAAAGCAAAACAATTAAGACAGCATAAAACTGCGTAAAACAACATAACAATAATAGCTAGCAACAACAATAACAGCAGACTAATTTTGGAGGGGAGGGGAATACCACTACATAAAGGATAAGTGGTTTAGTAAGGTGGATAACAATGTTGGGAGCCTTCTGAGATTTACAAAATCTTAGAAGCCTCCCACAGGATGGTAAAACATCCAGGCATCCCATGAGCAACGTCCTAGTAGACGACCAATTCTTTCACACCATAAGCGACTTGCAGGGTGAGCTCCCATCCGTCAGCTCCAACTTCTCATTCAGGGACATGAGAGAAGCCTCCCACAGGATGGTAAAACATCCAGGCATCCCATGGGCAAGATCCTAGTAGACGACTAATTCTCTCACACCAGAAGCGACTTGCAGTTTTTTAAGTCACTCCTGACACGAAACAAAAAGTCCGGTTTTGCTTACATAACAGCTGGAACACAAATACCCAACAGAAAACTCACTCTTTAGAATGAAAACCAGTCACCCACCATCCTGTTTTGAGAAGGAGGAATTCCATTGAGCAACACACTTTTCCTGCCTTCGCCCTCAGACCACATCACTCTCTCAGCTCAGAGGTGTGCGTAACAGTCATAATAACCACGTTGCATCCCTCGTGACAGCATATCCATGAATACTAAGGACAGGAATAAGTCTAGCTTCTTCAGTTTTGGCGCTGACCATGAGAAAAAGACTCAGGGTGCATCTACACTATAGAACCAATGCATCCTAACACCACTTTATGTGCCATGGCTCAGTGCTATGAGTCCTTGGGAGATATAGTTTTACAAGGTCATTCGCTTTCTCTGCCAAAGGGCGCAGGTACTTCATCAAACTACAACTCCTATTATTCTATAGCACTGAACCATGGCTGTAAAGTGGTGCCAAAATGCATGAATCCTATAGTGTAGAAGAGGCATGGGCAAACTTGAACACTCCAGGTGTTTTGGACTCCAACTCCCACCATTCCTAACAGCCTCAGGCCCCTTCCTTTTCCCCCTCAGGCGCTTAAGTGGCTGAGGGGGAAAAGGAAGGGGCCTGAGGCTGTTGGGAATGGTGGGAGTTGGAGTCCAAAACACCTGGAGGGCCCAAGTTTGCCTATGCCTAGTATAGAAGCACCCTCAGTCCCCAATACACTTTGGAACTGGTGGTAACCCCAAGCGATGGAAAGAGGTCTAAAGCAGAAATGCATTAGGAAGTATGAAACCTGCACTCTTGCTCACAACAGCTTTCGTCGACGACAACAGGCTGATTCTAAAGATGTCACAAGATCCTGTCTCTCTCAGCTCGCAATCTAAAAATTCCCGGAGGCTCAGTAATCTCCGGCCATGCCTATTACTACATGGCCAAATGTTTAGTAATTGCCTGGGGAGTGGAGGGACAAACAACCCACGGAGGCAACGTGTGTCTTTATTAAAATATATATACAAGTGTGAGTCAGGGTGGTGTGGTTTAGGCGTTGCACTCATCTTCTGGAGGCCAAGGTTCAAATCTCCTTTGGCCATGGGATCTCATGGAGTGATCTTGAGCAAATCTCACTCTCTCAGCCTTGGAAGAAGGCAACACTATAAGATGGCTTTGCTCTCCTATTGCCTTTTTGTTATTGGAAAGGATCTGTTTCTGGGTTGATGTGAGTTTTCCAGGCTGTATGGCTATGTTTCAGAAGCATTCTCTCCTGACATTTCGCCCACATCTATGGCAGGCATCCTCAGAGGTTGTGAGGTCTGTTGGAAACTAGGCAAGTGGGGTTTATATATTTGTGGAATCATTTCCAGAGTGGGAGAAAGAACTCTTGTCTGCTTGAGACAAGTGTGAATGTTGCAATTGGCCACCTTGATTACCATTGAATGGCCTTGCAGCTTCAAAACCTGGCCGTTCCCTGCCTGGGGGAATCCTTTGTTGTCTAATTTCTTTATTTTGGGGAATTCTTGACATGAAACAATCAGGGCCAGCTAACACATCCCAAAAAGGATCCCCCAAGCAGGAAGAAGCCAGGCTTTGAAGCTGAAAGGCCATTCAGTGTTAATCAAGGTGGCCAACTGCAACTTTCACACTTGCCTCAAACAGACAAGCATTAGTTCTCCCACCCTGGACATTCCACAGATATATAAACCCCACTTAGGCATTTCCAACAGACCTCACAACCTCTGAGCATGCCTGCCATAGATGTGGGCAAAAAGTAGGAGAGAATGCTTCTGGAACATGTCCAGACAGCCCAGAAAACTCACAGCAGCCCAGTGATTCCGGCCATGAAAGCCTTCGAAAACACACAGGATCTGTTTCCTTTCACATTGCAGAATAACAGCAGTTTGACACCACTTGATCTGCCATGGCTCAATGTTGTGGAATTTTAGGACTTGATTAGTGAGCTCATCAGTGCAGCTACAGGACAGAACTCATGCAGTTTGACACCACTTTTAATTGCTGTGACTCAGTGTTAAGGGATCAAGGGAGTTATAGTTTTACAAGGTCTTTCACCTTCTCTGTCAAAGAGTGTGCAAACTACAAGCTCCAAGATCCCGTAGCCTTGAGCCATGGCAGTTCCAAGTGGTGCCAACAGCATTCATTCCCCGAACGGGTGTTGCAATGAAACTATAAATCCCAGCATCCCTCAGCTTTCAGACAGGGCAGTCAAAAGTGGTGCCAAGCTGCTACAATTCTGCAATATGGCCACAAGTGACGCCAGAGCCTCGGGAATGTATGTAAACAAAGGCGCAAAACAAGAGAAGGAACAAGAAGCCTGGGTATTGAGTTGTTGTAGGGTTGTTTTTCGGGCTATATGGCCATGTTCTAGAAGCATTCTCTCCTGACATTTTGCCTGCATCTATGGGAAACATCCTCAGAGGTTGTGAGACTTCACAACCTCTGAGGATGCTTGCCATAGATGCAGGTGAAGTGTCAGGAGATAATGCTTCTAGAACATGGCCATATAGCCTGAAAAACCTACAACAACTCAGTGATTCTAGCCATGAAAGCCTTCAACAGTACATAGCCTGAGTATTATTTCCCACAGGAGTAGAGATCACTCATTACAGACATATATATGGTGGTAGTTCCCAGTCTTTGTTCTTCTAGGACTTCAATTCCCTGAAGCCACAGTCAGATTAGCCAACTATTGGGAATTCTGGGCGCTGAAGTCCTGGAAGACCAAAGGAAGACCTCCTGCCATATAAAGGTAAAGGTAGTCCCCTGACATTAAGTCCAGTCATGTCTGACCCTGGGGTGTGGTGCTCATCTCAATTTCTAAGCCCAAGAGCCAGCGTTGTCCATAGACACCTCCAAGGTCATGTGGCCGGCATCCTGCCATATATATGTCTCCAAAACATATGGAGGGCCAAAGATTGGGGGAAACTGCACTATCAGGAGTATCCTTTCTCCACTCCCTTCTCATCATCTCCCCCACGACCTTCAACTCCCAACTGGGTCAAAGGACCCCTAAATGGGGGCAACAACCCCTCAAGAAGACCCATCTCCTGCTGGGGAGGCAGTTTGACACCACTGGGACTGCATGGGATCAGAGGATCTGGACTTGGACCCAAGAGTTGGCCTTCTCTGGCCAAGAGCCCTGGCGCCTCCCCAAGCGACAATTCCCTCCACCCCATAGCCTGGAGCCCTGGCAGTCCAAGCGGTATCAAACTGGGTTAATTCCAAACCTAGGATAGTGGGAGCCTCACCTGTAGTTGGCGTTGTCCTTCTCGCCCAGGCACCGGGTCCACCCATCCGCGGTCTTCACCCAGTTCTGCCCCGGGGAGCGCCAATCCTGCCCGAGAAATGGCATCGTCGCCAAAACACGGGGAGGAAGGAAGGAAGGAAGGAAAGAAGGAAAAAAAGAAGGAAGGAAGGAAGGGAACCCTCCGATTGACTAGCAAGCAAGTCTAGTTGTCTTTTGCTCTTCTCGCAGGTCTCTCCAAAGCCCAAGGGCGCGCGGGGAAGGCGAGTGCCCACTCTCGGTGCGCAAAGATGCCAAGGCTGGATGGGACTCGAAGTCTCTCCGTCTCCTTCTTCTTCTTCTTCCTGAGCTTGGCTGCCTCGGCTGGTATTTATCCCGGGGCGGCTGGTGGTGGAGGCTCTTTGTTGCCGGAAAAGCGGGCCAGCTCCGCCTCTCTCCGCGCGGGGAGGGGGACACGTGGCTTTGTTTATGAGCTGAGGCTCCTGCTCCTCCTCCTCCTCCTCCTGCTCCTCCTCCTCCTCCTCCTCCTCCTCCTCTTTGGCTCTGGCGCAATCCTTGGCCAGGGAAACTTGGACCCTGCAATCTCTCGGCTCCTAAGCAGACCCAGTAGGTTTAGAGGTCAAGCTAAGGATGGTTTTCCCCTCCTCTCTGCCACTTCCAACCTTTGGCATCTTGCCACTCACCCTGGCCTTTGCTCTTGTTGTTTACTGCCAGGTTTACTTCAGTTGTGTATCTACAGCAGGTATGGGCAAACTTGGGCCCTCCAGGTGTTTTGGACTCCAACTCCCACCATTCCTAACAGCCTCAGGCAGGCCTGTAGCGAGGGGGGGGGGTTAGGGGTTCAATCCCCCCCCCGAAATGTTTCAGATTGACCAAATCCCCATGCTAAGTCTATGAGATGCAAGAACTGTAAGCACTATCTCAAGAACTGTAAGCACTATCTCAAGCAAATATTGACAATTTATTCACACTGTCATTACTTGCAGCAGTAGCCGATGTAGTGAAGCAACCAAGTTGGGTGTGTGTGTGTTGAATGTTGAATACTCTCATTAAGGAGGCTAGACTTGGTGGAGGTGGTTGACAAGGGCGGAGCTGCAGGCTATTGAAGGCTGATCTGCCCCCTGCTATGCTCTTTGCTTCAGCGTGAGCTATGAGGCAGGTTTCAACCCCCCCCCCCCGTGAAATTTTCAACCCCCCCTGAAAATTTCAACCCCTCCTGAATTTTTTTTCTGGCTACAGCCCTGGCCTCGGGCTCCTTCCTCCCCCCCCCCCCCCCCCCCAGGCAAGCTTGGGCACTCCAGTGTTTTGTATTTTATGGGAGTTCTAAAATTATGTGTTTGTTTATGTTTTAGTAATGCTGTAAACTGCCTTGAGCTGTGAGGAGAGGCAAGCAAGAAATAAAACTATTACTATTATTGAACTGCTAAATAGAAAGTGTCCAGTGCCAGAAGATCATTCCCGCCAGGAAGTGGACTAGGTCACATTTAAATTTTTAATTTGCCATATACACACGTATTAAAAGAAAGTGTATGCACACAGACCTATAAACATACTAGTTTATCTCCGCATAAGAGGAGGAAGAAGACAACAGAATAGGAAGGACAAGAGACCTCTTCCAGAAAATTAGAAACATTGGTGGTAAATTTCAGGCAAAAATTGGTATGATAAGAAACAAAGATGGCAGGGACTTAACAGAAGCTGAAGAGATCAAGAGAAGGTGGCGAGACTATACAGAAGATCTGTATAGGAAGGATAATAATATCGAGGACAGTTTTGACGGTGTGGTGAATGAATTAGAACCAGACATCCTGAGGAGTGAGGTTGAATGGGCCTTAAGAAGCATTGCTAACAACAAGGCAGCAGGAGTCGACGGGATCCCAGCTGAACTGTTTAAAATCTTAAAAGATGCAAAGATGACTGCAGATGCAGACTGTGGCCAGGAAATCAGAATACGCTTACTTCTTGGGAGGAGAGCAATGCCCAGTCTCGATAAAATAGTAAAGAGCAGAGACATCACACTGGCAACAAAGATCCGCCTAGTCAAAGCCATGGTATTCCCTGTAGTAACCTACGGATGTGAGAGCTGGACCATAGGGAAGGGTGAGCAAAGGAAGATAGATGCTTTTGAGCTGTGATGTTGGAGGAAAGTGCTGAGAGTGCCTTGGACTGTGAGAAGATCCAACCAGTCCATACTTCAGGAAATAAAGCCCGGCTGCTCATTGGAGGGAAGGATACTAGAGACAAATTTGAAGTACTTTGGCCACATCATGAGGAGACAGCAAAGCCTAGAGAAGACAATTATGCTGGGGAAAGTGGAAGGTAAAAGGAAGAGGGGCCGACCAAGGGCAAGATGGATGGATGGCATCCTTGAAGAGACTGGACTGACCTTGAAGGAGCTGGGGGTGGTGACGGCCGACAGGGAGCTCTGGCGTGGGCTGGTCCACGAGGTCACGAAGTCGGAGACTACTGAATGAATGAACAACAACAAGAGGAGGGCTAGAAAACAACCTTGGAAAGAAATAGTATATTTGCATGCATGATGGAAAAACAAAAAGAAAAAACAAAACAGCCACTGTTTTTTGGTTGCCAGTAGTGCAAATTAAAGGAGTTTCCCATGGGCAAGCTCATATTTAGATGAGTTTGCACAGGGAACACATAAGATCAACTCACCAAAATGTGGCAATAACAAGGCAAATACGGCATCTGTGTGGACTGGAAAATTTCCGTATGGATAAGGATTTTTTTTCTAGGTGTAAACTGCCCTCTCATAAACAGACCTGCTCAGGTCCTGCAGATTCTGAGCTATGGCTTCCTTAATTGAATCAATCCATCTGGAATGAAGTCTACCTTTTCTTCCACTGCCTTCGACCTTAGTAAGCATTATTGTCCTTTCTAGCTAGTAATGTATTTTAATGATATGGGCAAAGTACAACAGTCTCAATGTAAGCATCTTGGCTTCCAGGGCTTGATCTGTTGTAGGAACTATTCATTTGCATTTTTAAGCAGTCCACGGTTTCTGTAGAACTCTTCTCCAGCAACATATTTCAAATGAGTTGATTTTATTCCTATCTTCACTGTCTAGCTGTCACATCCTTCAGGCACGCCTGAGATGGTGGTGCAACTAAGAGCAGAGCCTCTCCTTATGATTTCAGAGCCTGGCCAGGTTTATACAGGGAGATATGATCTGTCATCAGGCATGTAGCGGGGGAGGGGGGGGGCTTGGGGGGCTTCAGTCCCCCCCCCCCCGAAATTTTCAGGGTGGCCTGTGAGAAGGCCTTACTGCTACATTATTTAAACTGTTATGTTTATTCATATCATGATCTGATCACCATGCTCAATATATCCCATATGCATGGGGGTATTGGGGTAACGATACAAAAGGTTTGCTAGGGTAGACCCTCTTTCACTCAGACTCAGCCCCCCCGAACCAAACTCCCCCCCCCCCCCCCCCCCCCCGAAATAAAATCCTGGCTACGGGCCTGTCTGTCATGATAAGACTCAAGCAAAATACAGGCAGAGACCTCAGTAAAAATGTAAAAAGGTTATTGTAAACTGCAATGAAACAATTCATAGAATTTACACCATTCAAATATCCATTAAATGACAGAAGATTAAAATCTAAATCTAGTTTGAGTCAGTTCCTAAAATCGTTTTGGAACTGAAAAGTATTCACCTGCTAACCCGAAGAAGTCAATCAATCAAAGTAAGAGTATTGCTGCCAGATTTCGAGACATTGCCTGATGTTCCAAAGAACTGCTGGGCTCTCTGAAACTCCAGATGTGTAGACATCTGTCTTGAGCTTGTGCAATATCAGGAGGAAGCATTTATTTATTCATTCAATTTGTACCCTGCCTTTCTCCCACCAAGAAAACAAAGATGGCTTACAAACTATAGAATAAACCAGTGTTCCTCAAACTTCCTAATGCTGTGATCCCTTAATACAGTTTCTCATATTGTTGTGACAACCAACCATAAAATTACGAAAGTGAAAAACCACACATTTAAAAAAATTCTTTAGCTGAGAGAACACCTCTGTAAGAATGTCTAGATTTTCCAGCATGTATTTATACTCAACCTCTCCTGAAAGCTAAGCATAGTCACACTGGAGGACTTACACATTCCAAGAGAAGTCATTTTTAAATCATGAAATCATAGAGTTTGAAGAGACCTCATCTAGTCCAACCTCCTGCCAAGAAGTAGGAAAATGGCATTCAAAGCACTCCCAACAGATGGCCACCCAGCCTCTGTTTAAAAGCCTCTAAAGAAGAAACCTCCACCACAAATCTGGGAATAATCAAATCCGCAAAAGTCAAATCCAGAAATATGGAGAGTCTAATTCCTGGGATGGATGGAATGAAACAGACCTTAGATAGGCTGTTCATGTGTGAATAGCAACAGAAATATAAAACACGTGGGTTTGGTGATGAGGTGACATGTTCAGTATTAAGGATGGCTGTTGGGAGACAAAGATAGGGGCCAAAGGCAAGATAGATAACTATATGAATGGCGGAGGGAGTTATTGGAATGGAGTGTGATGACACACACAATATTCTGTCTCCCATGCTTTTTAACATCTACATGAAACCGCTGGGAGAGGTCATCCGGAGTTTTGGAGTTAGGTGCCACCTCTGTGCAGATGACACGCATCTTTATTACTCATTTCCACCCAACTCCAAGGAGGCCTCTCGGGTGCTGGACGAGTGCCTGGCTGCTGTGTCTATCTGGATGAGGAGGAACAAGCTGAAGATCAATCCCGACAAGACAGAGGTCCTCCTGGTCGATCGTAAACCAGATCGGGGTATAGGGTGGCAACCTGTGTTGGACGGGGTTACACTCCCCCTGAAGCCACAGGTCCGCAGTTTGGGAGTCCTCTTGGATTCATCGCTCACGCTTGAGTTTCAGGCATCGGCGGTGTCCGGGAGGGCTTTTGCACAATTGAGACTCGTACGCCAACTGCGACCGTACCTCGCAAAGGCTGATCTGGCCGAGGTGGTCCATGCCTTGGTTACCTCTAGATTGGACTACTGTAATGCACTCTACATGGGGCTGCCCTTGAAAATGGCTCGGAAATTCCAACTGGTCCAACGGGCAGCGGCCAGGATGTTAACTGATGCTCCTTACAGAGAGAGGCCAACCCTCCTGTTTAAGGAACTCCACTGGCTGCCGTTTATTTTCCGAGCCCAATTTAAGGTGCAGGTGCTTACCTACAAAGCCCTAAACGGTTTGGGACCATCTTACCTACGTGACCGCATCTCCGTTTATGAACCCACGCGCTCACTTCGTTCATCCGGAGAGGCCCTGCTTGTGATTCTGCCTGCGTCGCAGGCGTGTTTGGTGGGGACGCGAGACAGGGCCTTTTCCGTGGTGGCCCCCCGACTCTGGAACACCCTCCCCAAAGATAATTCTTTATTAGAATTAAGATTGCTGC